CACCAGCTCCACGAGAACCCGCAGGCCCAGCAGCTCCAGTACCCACAGCACGAGCACCTCCGAGACGCGCGGCAGCAGCACCCTCTGCAGCCGAAGAACCTCCAGCACCAGTAGCACGCCTCCAGCGCCGGGCAAACCACTCACGCAGCTCCTGTGGGGAGAGTGGCTCTCGGCGAGACGAAGCACCTCCAGGCGTAGAACCTCCAGGCTCAGCACCCTCAGGCAAAGCACCTCCAGGTGGAGCACCCCTAGGCTCAGCACCCCCAGGCTCAGCACCCCCAGGCTCAACACCCCCAGTCTCAGCACCCCCAGGCCCAGCACCCCCAGGCTTAGCATCCCCAGACTCAGTACCCCCAGGCTCAGCACCCCCAGGCTCAGCACCTCCAGACTCCACACCCCCAGGCTCAGCACCCCCAGGCTCAGCACCCTCAGGCGCAGCACCCCCAGGCTCAGCTCCCGCAGCAGCACCAGTGTCACTAGTGACCTCGACAGGCTCGACCGCGTCTACCTGGGACACACCTGAAGGGGCAGGACCCTGAGGGGGGAGGGGGTCTACCGGGGGGGGACCTGGTACCAAGAAGAGCGGGGGCGGGGGGAGGGACGGAGTGCGGTAGGGGAAGAGGCGGTAGTAGGGTACCGACTCGTCGAACGTGACGTCCTGGGAGGACAGAACACGTCCAGAGGTGGGGTGGTAGAACTGCCACCCAGGGGCGTCGGGGGGGAACCCCAGGAAGACGCAGGGAGCAGCGCGAGGGGACAGCTTGTCCGCAGACAAGTCGCGGACAAACGCCCGAGATCCCCAGACCCGGAACGCCGTCGCATCGCCAACCTTCCCCGTCCACAGCAGGGCTGGGGAGGTCTCCGGCCTGGAGACCCTGGGGTGGAGGTTGATCTGATGCGCCGCGTACCTGACCGCAAACGGCCACAGAAAATGGGGGGCAGCCGCATGCATCATAGACGTACGAGCGACGTCCATGACCATGCAAATGCGGCGCTCTGCAATCCCATTTTGTTGCGGTGAGTCCGGAAGCGTGAAGGTCTTGCGGATGCCTCGCGCACGACAGAAGACACGCAGAAGGCAAGAGGAGAACTCTCCGCCTCTGTCCGAGTGCAGACGCAACACAGGAAAGTCCGAGCCAAAGCTCTGCCTGAGCTGGAGACGAGCTGCGCGGATCCAGTCGATCAGCACCTCAGTGACATCACCCTTGCTGTGCAAGGGGAAGACTATGGTGTAACGCGAGTAGTCGTCAACCACCAACAGGAAGTAGCGCTCGTGACCGAGTCCACGGACGCGGGCAGGGCCCCACACGTCCATGTGAAGCGTCTGCAACGGAGCCTCTGTCAGAGGAAACTGGGAGGAGTGAGGGGCAGCACGCTGGCGCCCCTCGACACAGGGGACGCAGGCAGGGCCAGGGCCCTGAGGAAGGGGAGGGAGGGACCGGGGGAGACCAGACACAAGAAGACGGGAGGCCATGCCTCTGAGCCGAAGCAGAGAGGGATGGCCAAGGCGGTGGTACCAGAGGAGAATCTCGTGAGACAGACGGCGACACGAACAGGGGGCAAACTCAGGACCAGACCTGGACGCTGCAGCAAACACGTGACCAGACGAGGGGACTCTACCAGACTCAGCACCAGGAGGAGAAGCAGTGGTCAGTGTGTACAGGCTCGACCCTGGCTGACGTGTAAACGTAGCCAGGTGGCGACCTGTGCTAGCCTCGCTGACGAGCAGGAGTAAACTGGTGAACACCCACATCCTGTAGGTCAGCACCACTCACCAGGTTCGTAGAGAACGAGGGGAGGTAGAGACCAGTCAGGGTGCCAGAGGGAGCCGCCGGACACGGGAGGACTGTGGAGAAACGAGACAAGACAGGACCCCCAGAGGGGTCAGCCAGGGACACCGCAACTGGCCGACTAAGCGGCGTGAGAGTGGTGCGGTCCCGAAAGAAGGAGCGAGACGCTCCAGAGTCAAGGGTGAAGGTGTGAGAGGCCGAAGCCGACACAGTACCTGAGAGGGCAGACTCACTAGTACCTGAGAGCACAGACGCACTGGCACCTAGAGCAGCAGCCTCACTAGCACCTGACGCAGCAGTACCAATGCCCGGGTCGGGCGGGAAACACCGGTAACAGTCACCCTCATCACTAACAGTCACAGCATACATGGCAGCAAGGATAGCATCAAAGTCAAGATCAAAGATAGCTACACCAGCCCTAGACAGCTCTCCCCAGCAGGGGGATCTCAGAGGCCTCCGGAAACTGCTGGCGCCAAGCGTCGGTCAATCGGGCGAAGCAGCGGCGGGCGGTGTGGGTGCCCCCACACTGCTCACCCGCGCGGTCACCGGTGCGAAGGACGTAGGTGCAGGGACCGAACGCCCCACCACGCTGACGCTGCGAGTACCACTCACGGAGCTGCTGAGGGGTGGGGATGTCGCGAGAGCGCTGCTGCTGCTGCTGCTGCTGCTGGCGCTGACCACCCCCAGTGCTGCTCCGCTGGGACGAGCCACTCTGACCACCTCCACCACCGCTACCTCCGCCTCCGCCGCCACCGCCGCCACCGCCACCCTCGCCCCCGCCGCTCCCACTGCCACCTCCGCCCCCACCTCCGCCGCCACCTCCGCCTCCACTGCCGCCACCAGTACCTCCACTCCCGCCTCCACCCCCACCGCCACCCCCACTCCCCCCGCCGCCCCCACCTCCTCCGCCACCGCCCCCGCTAGCTCTACCCGCTCCCTTGCCCCCCTTGCTCCTGCCAGAGCGGCGCCTACCGCTGGGGGCAGACACCGCACCGACCGACTCTAAACCAACGAGGTCGGCCGCAGCAGCAGAGGCGACAGAGGGTAACAGGGGGGAAGGAGAACACCCCTCAAAGATGGGGGTGCGCGGGTCACCACGAGAGGCCCCTACAGCGACTATGCTCTTCTCGGCCGCTAGCAGGGACTTCTCGAGGAGGTCGACAGTGAGGGTGGTGGGACAGACAGAGAGAAACTGGTCCCTAACAGCACGAAGGGACTCAGGGAGACGGGTGACTAGAAAGTAGAGGGTGATGTACATGGGAGGGGGGTTTTCGGCGAGGAAGGCAGCAGGAAGCGCAGCTCGGTAGCGAGTGTCACTAGCGCGAAGGTGGGTAAAGAGGTCAGCGACTGTGGGAAAGGCAACAAGGTTAGGGAAGAGGTACGGTAGCATGAGGCGGCTCAGTGTAGTAGTGGAAGGGGAGGAGTAGCGCGCAACTACAGCGTCGTACAAGGCCTGAGCGGTCTTGCACTGACTAAAGTGGGCACGCTCGGAGGAAGGGAGGTGGCGACGCACAGCAAGACGTGCAGCAGCATTGCGTGTGGCCCACTTGGAGCGAACAGTGGGGTCAGCATCAGCAGGAGGGGGAGGGACAGCGCCAGAGGCAAAGTCAAAGAGAGAGATGTCATCTACTGAATCGCACTGCAAGTACAGCTGCAGGTCCTCGACCTAGACCGCAAAGTCAATGGCGCGACCCTCAGCGTCAAAGGCCAGGACACTGGGGGTGGCCATGATAGCAGCCGACAGTCTCACCAGAGAAGAAGGGTCGAGCAGCTCAGTAGGACAGCAACACAGCAGCTCAGCAACTCCGCCGGCCCAGCAGTAGCAGCAGGCCCACAGGATCCGGCTCCCGGCACCGTAGACTGATCGGGCGGCTCGGGCGGCTCGCGCGGCTCGGGTGACGCGGGGGCTCACGGGCGGCGCGGGCGGCTGCATGGGCGGCTCACGGGTGGATGAGGCGGCTCACGGGCGGCACGGTGGGCGGCTGCACGGGCGGCTGCACGGGCGGCTGCACGAGCGGTTGCACGGGCGGTTGCACGGGCGGCGCACGGGCGGCTGCACGGGTGGCGCGGCGGGCTGCAGCTGGAGAGGCGGCGGGGCCGTAATGGGGGCCGTAGCGGGGCTGCAGCGGGGCCGTAGCGGGGCCGTAGCGGGGCCGTAGCGGGGCCGACGAGGGGCTGTAGCGGGGCCGTAGCAGGGTCGGCGGGGCCGACGGGGCCGACGTAGCCGTAGCGAGGCGGAGGCGGGGCCGACGGGGCCGACGCGGGGCCGTAGCGGGGCCTAAGCGGGGCCGACGGGGCCGAAGCGGGGCCGACGGGGCCTAAGCGGGGCCGACGCGGGGCCGTAGCGGGGCCTAAGCGGGGCCGACAGGGCCTAAGCGGGGCTGACGCGGGGCCGTAGTGGGGTCGAAGGGGCCTAAGCGGGGCCGACGCGGGGCCGTGGCGGGGCCTAAGCGGGGCCGACGGGGCCTAAGCGGGGCCGTAGCGGGGCCGTAGCGAGGCCTAAGAGGGGCCGTAGTGGGGCCGACGGGGCAAAGTGGGGCCGCGACTAAAGGGCGGCGGGATCGCGTAGGAAAGGGCGACACGCAGGGTCGCTAAAAAAAAAACGCGCGCCTCGGGGCGCGCTTCGGTGGGCCCTAGGAACAGTCCCTAGGAGGGGACCTGCTCTTATTCCATGAGAAGAATTGAACGAGAATGAATGAACTATGAATGAAGTGAGTACAAATAGGAAACCCTAATTGAGTTGTACCCCCTATGGGATACCCCACTATAGCCTACACAAATGAGTAAGCTATAATGTTCTGACACGTTTGAAATTTCAATTGTCTTATTTCATTCTCATCCGACGACTTCCCGTTCTCCTCAATCGCTCACTTCTCTCTTAAAGTGGTAGGCATTAACTAGATTGACATAGCACAACACACGTTTCAGAAATGTCTTGCGGGTACACCCGTCCGCACAATAGGCGCGCACGTCGAGGCTAATAAGGCGACGGCGCCACTGGCGCACGTGGCGACGAAATCTACACAGGCACGCGTGGCGACGAAATCGCCATAGGCGCTCGTGGCGACGAAATCGCCACAGGCGCGCGTGGCGACGAAACCACCACACGCGCCCGTGGCGACGAAATCGCCAGAGGCGCGCGTGGTGAAATCGCTAGTGGCGCACGTGGAGTCAAAATCGCCAGCAACGCAAGTGGCGCCAGTGACGCTCATGGCGCCGAAATGGTCAACATCGCCACTGCCGCATGTGGCTACGAAATCGCCAGTGGCGTGCAAGAACCCAGGGGCGCGTCCAGCGGAAGTCGGTACCAGCAGGCATGATGGCGAAATCTCCAGAAGGCAAGATTTCAGTGGCGCGCCAGAGACAAACTAGCGGCATATGCGCTTCTTGTCAGGGGTCCACTGGTGATCCCCGAATAATCCTAGGGAAGGGTTACAGGCACGTTGGCCTAGGGGGTTATGGGCGCACTGACCCGCTACTTAATAAGCCCTTTTATCCCAGTAGTCTAGTGACTGGGGTTCTGACACGGTATCAGAGCGAAGGTCTCGGGCTCGAATCCCGGTGTATGCACTTCGGGCATCCCAGATTGGTGGGGTGTCAGAGGTCCACTAGTGATCCCCGATTGATCCTAGGGAAGGGTTACAGGCACGTTGGCCTGGGGGGTTATGCGCGCACTGACCCGCTACTTGATAAGCCCTTTTATCCCAGCGGTCTAGTGACTGGGATTCTGACACTTGTGATGTTGAAATTTGCCTATGAATAATTATTACTTTGCACATGTTCCCACCTCTTCTTCGTTCCTATCTTCGATTCTTGTTCGTCTGCGTTTTTCTCTCATGCTATTTCTTATTTTTTATCGCAGTAAATCGGTGCGAGGCAACTACCTTTGGGCCGCCATGAAAGACTACCGGCGAAGAAAGACTGCGGCAAAACATTTGGCACAACCCATGCGCTCCCGTGGGAGATTGGGACCGGGGGCCTCGCGCCAGCCGGAAACGGACCAGTGGGTCCTGTGCGGTGCTGGCCAGCGAGCTCCCCAGGGAGGAGGAGGACCGGTGGGTCCTATGCGGTGCTGGCCAGCGAGCTCCCCAGGGGGGAGGAGGACCGGTGGGTCCTGTGCGGTGCTGGCCAGCGAGCTCCCCAGGGGGGAGGAGGACCGGTGGGTCCTGTGCGGTGCTGGCCAGCGAGCTCACCAGGGGGGAGGAGGCCTGGTGGGTCCTGTGCGGTGCTGGCCAGCGAGCTCCCCAGGGGGGAGGAGGACCGGTGGGTCCTGTGCGGTGCTGGCCAGCGAGCTCACCAGGGGGGAGGAGGCCCGGTGGGTCCTGTGCGGTGCTGGCCAGCGAGCTCCCCAGGGGGGAGGAGGACCGGTGGGTCCTGTGCGGTGCTGGCCAGCGAGCTCACCAGGGGGGAGGAGGCCCGGTGGGTCCTGTGCGGTGCTGGCCAGCGAGCTCCCCAGGGGGGAGGAGGACCGGTGGGTCCTGTGCGGTGCTGGCCAGCGAGCTCCCCAGGGGGGAGGAGGACCGGTGGGTCCTGTGCGCTGCTGGCCAGCGAGTTCCCCAGGGGGGAGGAGGACCGGTGGGTCCTGTGCGCTGCTGGCCAGCGAGCTCCCCAGGGGGGAGGAGGACCGGTGGGTCCTGTGCGGTGCTGGCCAGCGAGCTCACCAGGGGGGAGGAGGCCCGGTGGGTCCTGTGCGGTGCTGGCCAGCGAGCTCCCCAGGGGGGAGGAGGACCGGTGGGTCCTGTGCGGTGCTGGCCAGCGAGCTCCCCAGGGGGGAGGAGGACCGGTGGGTCCTGTGCGCTGCTGGCCAGCGAGTTCCCCAGGGGGGAGGAGGACCGGTGGGTCCTGTGCGCTGCTGGCCAGCGAGCTCCCCAGGGAGGAGGAGGACCGGTGGGTCCCTTTCTGGCTCGTGAGTTAAGTTATATATTGGTCAAATACCAGGGCTAAAGCCCAAAGTGCAAGGTTAGACGCGATCACATTTGAGCTGGCTGGTTGAACAAAATTTTGGTGAGTTTGAAATGGTGCACAACTATAGCAGATGAGTACGAATACCAAAGGCTTAAACCTTGACAGATTTACCGTATCCGGATACAAGTTGCATGCACGCTTCGTAATGTGAGCACGGTTGTGACCGCAGCAAGGGTTGGGCTCCTACAAGCATCACATCCATCATTACTCAGAATACTAACACCCGCTGCCCGTGTCCTCCCATACTTGCTTGCGAGTTCGCGTCCGAAGCTCACATGTGAGCTAACGCTTATAAGTAACCACTACTGTGCTACACTCACTTAGGGCGACACTCCAAGGCAACAGCAGAGAATACTGCACCTCGATCAACATCGGTGCCAGCCTTCTTCTTCGCGCATGATTGGAACTCCACCGACATGTCGTCGTATAAACCATCAACAACCTTTACCGTCTCCGCAGCATCTCCCCGTCTCATGTCTCAGAAGACCCATTTGAAACGAAGCTCGTTGCCATTGCAAACACAAGAAAGCAAGCTTTCTAAATATGTTTTTTTTTTAAGTGTGTAACACTTTCTAAAAATGTGTATTTTGAAAGCGAAGCTGCTTGTAATGCAGCAATGGCAACGGCAAAGTGCTAGACGCTCTTCGCCAACTATATAGCAGGGGGTGGAGGCCATTTGGCCTCCACCCACGTTTTCGTTTGAAATTTCAAATGTCTTATTTCCCACCCACCCACCCTAGCAAAAATTGCATGTTGTCATGTGTCATGTAGGTACCATATATATCCCGGATGAGAATGATGTAATGCCCATTTGAAGCGAAGCTCGTTGCCATTGCAAACACAAGAAAGCAAGCTTTCTAAATAGCAGCACAACCACCACAATATTATAATTTTTAAACACACATTGTGTTTTTTAAAATTGTGTATTGTGAAAGCGAAGCTGCTTGTACTGCACAATTGGCATCGTCGAAGCGCACTAAACGCCCTTCTCCAACTACAAAAACCGTGGGTTGGAGTTCATTTCCCTCCACCCACGTTTCTCGATTTTCCAACGGCTCACTCAACATTTCTGCTCACGTAGTTTATCCCTCCGTCCAAGCTGGCTAGAACAAAATCGCTTCCTAGAGGCGAGTCACCTTCGACCTTACTCAACGATATTTTTAACTTCAATCGCTCAACGATGGCACCGACGCCGACACTTAACAACGGGAACTCGTCCAACCCCGCCTCCGACAACGACCGTAACACCCGCGATTTTGCGGGCGAATGCCGTAACAAGCGACGGGCAGAAGATGGACCGCCCACCCCGACTGCAGTGGACGTGCTGCTGGGCGGGCTCGAGGTCAACAACTCGGCCAACGCCCAGCAGCACCCTTCGGCGCCAGTGGCGCCAGTGGCGCCTGAGGTGCCTGTGGCGCTAGTGGCACCTGCGGCGCAAGTGGCGACGGCCGCGGGCGTGGCACACGCCACTGACGCCGAGCACACACCAGCACCCGCGGCTGGACCGTCGCGTCAGCGCCAGAGGAGGCGGACGGCGGTCTCCTCGTCTGACGCGACGACCGCCCCTGCGTTGACGCAGGCGTTGACCTCGGACCAGGTCAACGCGCTGCTGTCCCTTCTACAGCAGCAGCCCGTCAGCGTTACAGCCGCGGAAACTGCACTACTCGCTGCATCTGCGTCGGCTAAAAAAGAAAATGCGAAAAAGGAAAAAGGCGCGCGAGGAGCAAGGACCATTCGGCACTACAACGACGCAGCAGCAGCAGCACCCCCCGCTCCAGCGGTCGACAACGACACCGACGACTCTGAAGATGACGCCGGTGAGGCTCCAGTCAACAATGTTAATTTTAATGGCACGAAACACCTTCCCCCCCTCCCTTCTTCTAACCTCACCTTCTCGGCGGCAACATTCGTCAACGACTCCGTGCGAGAGCAAGCAGAGCTGCTGGAGGACTTACGCGCGTACCTGCTGCACGCGGAATATAAGGCGCAGCGCGGAGACCCAGCGGGCGGACTCGAACTCATCTCGCACGCTCTCAACCTCATCTCGGGGCGTTTCGAGGTGCTTCAAGTGGAGGACGCATCCGACTTCCGCACGGCGAAGCGCTTCAAGTTGTACCAGCAGAAGAGCCTGCTGACTTCTCGACCCTTCAAGCAGGCGGTCGCAGACATGGCGGCAATGGACCGTGCGGCAAGCGGATATGCTCGTGCCAACCGCGCCGGAAACAACGCGTCGTTGCCGTTTTTACCCAAGCGGGGCCCCCCGCCCACGGCCAGTTGCCGCGGGTTTCGGGGCTCGTGCTTCCGCTACGGACAGCCGGGCCACGTGGCAAGTGCCTGCCCTAGGAACGGGCACAGCGGCCAAGGACCCGCTCCGGTGGTGTAGGAGCGGGCCATGGGAATAGGCGCTTGAGCGCTAGGCACGGTGCACTCTTGAGTGCGAAAACCGTGGGCAACCCTAGGGGTTTGCGATGGCAAGAGGCCAGCCCTATTGAAGGGTAGGAATAGGCTTTGGGCCTAGGATAGGGAAGGGGAGCAACAACCCCCTCGGTCCCATGTAGTTCACCACTCAGTAGCATGATGCATGGTAGGAGAGCATTGCTATGTGTGTTGGTTGATTTGATTAAAAAAAAAAAAAAAAAAACCTTCTTAAAAGCCTACTGTTTTGGAAAAGAGACTCTGAAACAATCAAGAGGAGGATCAGAAAGAGAGAGTGTGTGTGTGTGTGTGTGAGAGAGAGAGCGAGAGAGAGAGAGAGAGAGAGAGAGAGAGAGAAAGAGAGAAAGAGAGAAAGAGAAAGAACGAGATACAACATGGTGGGCACGCATGTCCATGATTCCACGCACCAGCCCCCACGAACTACGAGTAAGAGAGAGCATGAAAGAGAGAGGGAGAGGGAGAGAGCAAGAGAGAGAGAGAGAGAGAGAGAGAGAGAGAGAGAGAGAGAGAGAGAGAGAGAGAGAGAGGGAGGGAGAGAGATGGAGAGAGAGAGAGAGGAAGAGAGAGAGAGAGAACAAGAGAGAATAAGAGAAACACAATGGACAAGTGTGTCCATGGCCATAGGCATCATCTCCCAGGCACCAAGGGCAGGCACAACCACATCCTACCGAGTGCACGATGGGCAAAAAAAAAAAAAAAAAAAAGCGGAGGAAACGAGGAGAAGAAGAAGCGTCGTTTCGCACCCGACACATTCGTTGACATTTCCGTCGGTTTTTATTTTCTTCACACATTTGATCAAGGGTTGCCCGTACATGTACATGCACACACATGCTTTAACATGGAATACTCAACCCGTATACCACTTGGCCTCCCATGCACAGGAGCACGACGGTGCGAGGCGGCAGGCTACGATGACCCGTACGAATTTGCCGTTACAGACAGAACTATTACACAGATGCGTGGTCGTCTTCGCGCGACCTTTGCGTGGTGGAGCTCATGGTGCCCCAGCAGCCTCGTTCTCTCCGTCATCGCCAAGGGTTACTGGTTGCCATGGAGTCACGGCCCACCACAACCTTTCCACGATCGCAATCATGTCGGGGCGAACACGCATGCCACGTTCACATGTACCGCCATCCAAGAACTCATAGAGACGGGAGCGGCAGTTCCGATGGCCGCAACGGAGCTCAAGTGCATAAGTCCACTTAACGTGGTTGAGCAAAAAGACAAATGCAGGCTCATTCTTGTTCTGAGAAAGGTCAACGCCAACTTGATTGTCCCCAAGTTCAAGTACGAAGGGCTCAGCCACGTCGCCGACCTGGCGCGCGTTGGGGACTGGATGTTCTCCATTGACCTCAAATCTGGTTACCATCACATCGACATCCACCCATCGTGCTGGAAGTTCCTTGGCTTCGAATTCGATAGGCGCACATACGCATTTCGTTCACTACCATTCGGCCTCGCGACGGCTCCATTCGTCTTTACACAGCTCATCAAGCAACTAGCTCGGCGTTGGCGAGAACAAGGCATCCGAGTCGTACCTTACGTGGATGACATCTTATTTCTCTGCCAGTCGAAAGCCGATGCGCAAGCAATCTCCCAGCATGTGATATTGGACCTCAAAGAGGCAGGCCTTGTGATAAACGCGAAGAAATCACAACCGTCACCATCGCAACATCTCCGATTCCTGGGCGTAGAACTGGAGACCGACACCGGCCGATTCTCCATCGGTCCCGACCGACGAGCCTCACTACATGCAACCATCCAGAACCTCCTGAGCGCAAGCAGAGCATGCCGACTAGTCCCGGTCCACCACATGGCCAGAATCACTGGCATGCTTGCATCAATGGGTGTCGCACTTGGCGCGACCGCTCGCGCATTCAGCCACGCTATGTTGCAAGTGATCAACGAAGCACCGTCTTGGAAAAGCAGCGTCGTTATTCCCCCATCTGCAGCAGAGGAGCTCCAATTTTGGCTCGAGGAGTTTGACCGTTTCAACGGCGCACCTTTTCACGTCAGGAACAGCTACGACGCAGTAATCCATGTGGATGCCAGCTCTCATGGTTGGGGCGCCACTCTGACCACATTTCCAAGCGGCCTCGAAGAAGCCAGCGCAACCATGTCAGAGCCGCTACGAGGAACGTCCAGCACGCGACAGGAGATTGAAGGCGTCCTTTGGGCGCTCCAAACATACGCGACCAAGATCAAGCAAAAACACGTTCTCGTGCGGGTGGACAACTAGGGCGTGTTCTTCATCCTTCGAAAAGGCGGCTCTCACAGCCCCGACCTCGCAACGGCATGCAAGAGCATCATCCGAACATGCATGGAGCTTGGCACGCGCTTGATCATTGAATGGATTCCGCGCGAGCTCAATACACACGCCGACGAACTTTCAAAAATGGTCGAACACGACGATTACGCGTTGAAAACGCCGTGGTTCCGCATCTTGGAACGTCGTTGGGGGCCCCACTCAATCGACCTCTTCGCAAACTCCCGCAACACCCAACTGCCGCGCTT